TCACACTGACAGCTGTGAGCTGTATTGCTGTGCGGGTTGATGTTCCATTTGCCATATTTGGAAATACAGACACATTTGGAGCATATTGTGATATAAAGATGTTTATGTAAGCACTCAATAAGTACTGCTTTAACTCTAAAATGTAGGACAACAGGATGTTCTGAAATAAGAAAAAAAGCATTTTGGTTGGTTTTGGTGGAGAGAAATGTACCTGCATGCCAACCTTTTTTTCAGTCTCATATACGTTTCTCAGGTCCCACACACACACACACACACTCACAGGCCTGCAGTATGCGGAAGTCTGGAGATTAATGTCTGCTGGTGCTTATGTAAACTGATGTGCTGTCTCTCTTTGATCAATGAGGTGCTTTTTTATTGACTTGATAACAAGATTATTCTCACCAGACAAAAGTTTGTCTGTGTGAACTTGTTTTCACCATGAAAACAAAAGAGATCTGCTGTATCGCTCCCTATATGATAATGTTGCCATCTACACAGGTGTGAAATGATGTGGGGCCACCATCCCATTGCCTCCTCTGCACTGTGAATTCAAAACCCCAAAATGTTACATTTAAGTATTTCTTGTATACTGACAAGCATATATATTAAACTAAAATAAACTTAAATGACAATTCTTTTCAAAAATGTCATGTATTTCAATATATTAGTTATTACACACTTGTAATAATGATGTCGTTATTTAGTATATTTAAAATATATTAACTTTAAATGTAATATTGAAAAGCACAATACATTATAATAAAATTGTAATCAAGTACTTTAGTTACATGTGCTTTGAGGTCATAGCCAACACTTCAAAATAGGTGTGAAATGATGTGGGGCCACCATCCCATTGCCTCCTCTGCACTGTGAATTCTTCAAAACCCCAAAATGTTACATTTAAGTATTTCTTGTGTACTGACAAGCATATATATTAAACTAAAATAAACTTAAATGACAATTCTTTTCAAAAATGTCATGTATTTCAATATATTAGTTATTACACACTTGTAATAATGATGTCGTTATTTAGTATATTTAAAATATATTAACTTTAAATGTAATATTGAAAAGCACACTACATTATAATAAAATTGTAATCAAGTACTTTAGTTACATGTGCTTTGAGGTTATAGCCAACACTTCAAAATAAGTGTATTTCTGTAAAGACAAAAGATTATTCAAACATAATGATTTAAATGTTACTTTAAAGTAAAACTTTTCATTTGTACATCATTACAAAGTGCACTTTTTAAAACGGTACTTAAGTGTGTTAAAATACTTAGTCATGAAGGTGAACTCTTCAAGTACACTTTATTTCATAAATATTATCTGCATGTACAGTTTAAAAAATATATATTTTTAAGATTTAATATACACAACTAGTGCACTTTCAGTATAATTAAGCAAACTTATTTTTCACAAAAGATTACATTACAAAATGAGGACAAAAATATTGCAACACTTTGTTGATGTCAAGCGTTAATGGACCATGTTCATAGATTGGGGATAATTGAACTAAAAATGAAAATTCTGTCATTATTTAATCACCCTCATGTCTGTCACGCTTATACTACAACGAGGAGCGAGGAACGAGGAGACGCAGGAGAATTCACATTAAACATCTTTAATCCTTCCAACATGGGGTACACAGGGCAGACAGGAACACATGTAGCACAAGAGGTTCACATTCAATCTCGGACAAAGACAGACAGCACAGACTCAAACCTAAATGCAATTAACAAACACAGGTGCACTGAATGACTAATTAAACTAAACGAGGACAGGAAAAGGACCATATAAGGAAAACCAGGAACAAAGACAGCCAGGGGCAAAGCACAACAAAACAGGTCCATGATCCTGACAGTCATTCCAAACTTTCTTTCTTTTGTGTTTTTGTCAATAAAGTGAAAGTCGTTGGGGCCCAGTGCTGTTTTTCATTGTATGGAGAAAAAAAACAACAGTTGTAGCATTCCTCCAAATATCTTCTTTTCTGTTTTGCAGGAGAAAGAAAGTCATACGGGTTTGAAAACGACATGAGGGTGAATAAATGATTAGAGAATTTTCATTTTGGTGTCCTTTTAATGTGATGTGCAAAGCTGCAAGGACCTGTGTGAACTTGTGGAGAATTGACTTCATGCACCAAAATAAAATGTGATTACAAGTCAAAAAGTTCATTAACATTTGAGCATAGATTCTACTTTATTTGGTGTTTTGTTTTCTAACACAACAACCTTCAGAATTATTTGAACAGAATTTGAACAGAATTGTTCAAATGCCTTTTTGAGACATCCCTATTCACACAAAACTGACAAACCCAAACATCATGATGTTGTCACATTGGTGAATTAATTTTATGGTGCGGTAATTTCCACAGACAAGATGAGCTCTCATTGTAAACATTGTTGAAGCCACGATCGTAACTGTCATGCCTTCATCATATCTAACAAATTATCTATATATAGCCAAGCAGAAATCAAAGGAAGATTTGAAACGTTGCAAGGCAACCTCAGGCATAATTCACCAGCAAACCAAAGAAAATTACAACCAGTGTCCATAGTAAAGAAACATTCTATCAATGCATCTCTCTCTCTCCCTCTCTCTCTCTCTCACACACACACACACACACTTCTCTCTGTAGTGATTCACAGCATGGCTGAAAGCTTTGTAGGTTTTAGACAGTCTGCAACAACTCAACCTTGTGTGCTGCATCGTAACTACTGTACACAGTAAAGAAAAACTCAGCATGTTTCACACACTCACACACACACACACACACACACACACACACACACATGTTTGATCAGTTACCATGCATAACATTTTAGAGGCCACATTAAGAGGTTAAATTGCTTATATCACTAGTATTTTTTACTTGTTTGTTTATGGTACCACCGCTATTTTATTAACTAATTCAGGTAGTAAAATAATATTAAAGGGATAATTCATCCCAAAATGTCATTTCTGCCATCATTTACTCATGCTCATGTCATTCCAAACCTGTGTAAGTTTCTTTTTTCTGTTGAACACAAAAGGAGATATTTGGAAGAATGCTGGTAAATGGTGGAATGCTGATTAGAGACAATTTTTGGAGAATTTAAAAGCAGAAATGTGAAGCGGATTAACTCTTCTGTAAAAATTCTTTAAATTCTAATTATTAAATGATCATTCTTAATCCTCATTAAGCTGCAAAACTGTTTAAATAATCTTTTACAGCTTTTGTAGGGGTTTTAGAATTTATAGTGCTACATTTTCATTGCAAAAAAAGTAAAATTGAATATAACTTTATTGTAACATTTTATTTGTTCTATGTTTCTGTATATACTTTATTTACAGTAGTGTTAGTAAAATTCCCTGCAGTTGTAGAGCAGGGCTTCATAACCAATATTAAAGCAGTGCTGACCCCATTTCAACAAGATTTGTTTTACAACTGTTATGATTCAATTCTGACCAGTCCTGTTCATTTGGAAACTCGTGGGAACTGTTGAGGACTGTACAGTTGTTATTTAGAATGAAGTTTAAGCTGTTGTTTTATTGTATAGATGTTCTGCAGAAGTCACAATTATAGGGATGTTTTTTTATACAGTTTGAATGACTGAACATGCACTGTAACCTGCACTATATTATAACAATTATTTTTAAATTCCCTTATACTGCAGCCAAGTTTTTAAAGAGATGATCATTTCATTATTTTTTAGGGCAATGAACTTCATTTCAATTTTGCACATCAGTGGGAGTAACATTTGAACGTGAATCTCAGAGTGAATTCTTGGAAATAGTGTTGTAAAACCCGAAATGTTATAATGTTTATGGTCTGGTGTATCCGTAAGCACATATCTCAACAGATCACAGTACAATGATGCTAGTATATCACTCTGTGTCAAAAGACAGTAGGTTTACAGTCTGTACAATGCATATTTCTACAAAGAAGTCCTGCCCTGATGAATGTAGCAGTAATTGTCTGAGCACAAAATGAATCACCCTCACTGATCTCCACGGACGGCACTGCACTATTTCTTATTTAGTTATACATTGAACAACTGCCTCTCTCTAGTGGCTGTAAGCAGATACTACTGCACGATGTTTATGAACTTATGAAAAATCGCTTTCGCAGTGATCCTGTGTGCCGAGATCAGAAATTTTAAGGATGTCGCAGGAAACAGTTATATATGTATCCTCTCCGTTTATAGGTAGCCTATCTGGAACACAACTCAAAAATAGGCTATTGCTTGAGGTCCAGTTCATCATTAAAGGGGTCATATGATGCTGCCAAAAAGAACATTATTTTGTGTATTTGGTGTAATGAAATGTGTTTATGCCGGTGGGCTTGCGGCAACCACATGTGACGACCCCGGGCTGGACTCCGCTTCGTCCACGGTGAAAGCCGATCCGGCGATCCACAGCGAAGTTGTAGTATTTCCTCAGCGACCAGCACGGATCAGCTCCAGGCATGACGAAGCGGATATCATCCTCTTTTGGAAGACCAAACAAAGTAGTTTCGCTTTCACAACGAAACACACAGCGCCTTCACGACATGGCGGCGGCAACAACACTACAGCGAGAATAAAAGTTACACCTTCTGTGTGAACATTTGGGTGGCGTTATGCAAATCTTCTCACATCGTGATGTAGATATGTGGGGGCGTGTTCGAACGAGGCGTTTTAGGTAGGCGTGGCTGACTCTTAACTTTTAAAAAGAATATCTCTTTGGATTTGAGACTTTAGTCTTTGCAACTTTACAGATCTTCTTTATGCACCAAGAGCTTGTAACACTCCACCCCTTTAAATTCTTCTCTCTGTATCAGCGTCACTGTTGCCTGGGCAACGCCGGGACATTCGCTCGGATCAAACCAAGCAGCACCTGCGGGGAGTCCCAGAGCAGCGTTCAGCATCACCGCAATCACAGGCAAATGCACTCTATTTCTGACCGCCTTTCGTAATCGATTATATAGTATAATAGGCATTGACAACATAATGATCTGCCTGTGATTGATAGTAGGGGTGTTCTTCTGATAAACATCCAGCTGTCGCGTGCTTGATGACAGGGAGAGAAACGCAGTCGTGCTGTGCTTCTCGTGATCAGTGCGGATTCGTGACTGTCTTTAGCAGGTGATCAGGTTTGATTTTCTCCATTATCCATTATGCAACTTATGCAATATACAGGATGCCATTTTAATAATGCAATTAAGCTTTATGAAATCTTTCCGAACAGACGATCGACATCTAGTGAGTTTACAAACTCTCATACATGTATGAATATTTTATAAAGTTCACAAATGAATGCTGTATTTGGCTTATGCTTATTTGGCTTATTGTTACTATTTAGCTACTTGCGCGTGCATTGCGATCGAAACCACCAAAACTCAAATGAATGCACATAAATTCAAATACCTTTATTTGTCTTTTGATTTTTTTTTAAACTTATAGACAGTGCTAATAACGCCAGTGTTGTTGATACTTGTCTCAAAAAACAAAGACCTTTAGGCAAATAAAATGTAACGCGTATAAAATAGTAACAGAGATCGAATGGGCTATTTTCACTTAACTGCATGTTAATTGCAATTATATGAAAATGTTTTGTAGTTTAAATTAATATTAAATATGATTATAGATTTAGATATTATCTTTTGAGTGCTTATATACCTAATTATCATTGTTATATCCTTTCATAATTACTTCTATTGTATTTGAAATATTGTTAAAGCCGAATGTGCTGAGTATTTATGGTAAACAAAAAAGACTTTAATGTCATTTATTTCATATACTGTATATCATATATTTGTAATTACGCATTTGCAACAACATTGGAGTTTAGTATGTAGTATATAGAATATCCCTAAATGTAATATTGAATAACATGCTGAAATGATTATTAATTAAAATTATGAACAAGTACTTTACATGCATGTACTTTAGTATGTTAGTCAACACATCCTCTTTAAAGCACTACAAAAGATTAAAACATAATAATTTAAAATATACTTTAAAGTAAAACGTTTAATATTATTACAAAGTGCACTTTTTAAAAGTGTGTTAAGAAACATAGTCATGAAAGTGTCTGTCTTCAAGTTCACTTAAGTGGCTTTTTATTTCATAAATATATTATCTGCAAGTACAGTTTAAAAAAATATATATACTTTTAAGATTTGAAGTGGATTACAAAAGAACATTCAGTACAGTTAAGCAAACTTCTTTCTCACAAGGGAACACACACGTCAAACAACAACACATATGAACTGAAAAACAACATCAGATTAGGTCACTACACAGAAGCACCCATAACTGTATGCTCTCAAATACACCATTCACACAGTAATGCTGTGTTTTTCATGGCAAATTACAAATATTCAAGTTGCAATTCATTATTTAAATATTTCAGCTTTAATAAAGTTGGATTGAGATGCCATCATCTGCATTGTAAGCAAAAATGTAATAGTCAAAATCCAGAAACATCCAAAATCATCATTCAGGAAATACTTTCATGGGTCACATGAACCAAAACAAAATCCATGCACACTCACGCAAAAAAAACTATCACTGGGGTTGTACCCTTTCAAAAGCTAATAACATGTGCACTTTAGGTAATAATTCTTTTAAAGCACTAATATGTAACTTTATGTACCATTTAGATATAAATCAGGTACAAAGGTGCACCTTTAGTTTTTGTACATTAGAGTACCACCCCAGTGACAGCTTCGTACCATTTTTCTGAGAGTGTAAACAAAATATACATCCCAAAACAGCAAAACGGACAAGGCATATGAAAATGGCAATGAAAAAAAATGGCAAGATATCATAAGAGTAAATGACGGATGATTATGGCATGATTCAGAGGAAATTATAAGCAGGTGTGATTAATCAAAGTCAAAGCTCTGAATTCAGCTGATGGCGACCTCACGCAGAGGTAAAACTGTCATGCTAATATTGTTGGCTCCTTTAGTGAATTGCTTGTGCTTCTCCTTATTTGTATTGGCACTCATCAGACGCGTCTTCTGTGTTTTCCTCTGCAGATTCTCTTCAGCACAACCGTCCAGAAGCTCTTCTGTTTCGAATGCTTATTTCTCCATTCCTTCAACTCACACATCGTTCCTCCATGCTTTCACTTTCGTCACTGGCATCAGCACTGTTAAACATGCTGGGTTGACAGTATGGCTGTTATACTCCAGCGTGATTGACATCTCAACAATCACCTCTGCTTTTACCATCAGTGACTCTACACCACAGCACCACAGTCTCTGAGGCATTGTGGGTAAAATGTCAGTGGCATTGCCGGCTGTGCGTGATGTTACATGGCTGACGCTGGAGGTGTGTCGGCAGTTTCAGAGAGGCAGCTGCTCACGCAGAGACTCAGAGTGTAAGTTCGCACACCCACCCAAGAGCTGCCATGTCGACAACGGCCACGTCATCGCATGCTTTGACTTTCTCAAGGTAATGAACTCCATTCACTGGAACAAATGCTGTAATAATATGTAGTGTTCAATCACATTAAATATCCATTCACATCAAATACTGAACTGGAGAATATCATGATCCATAAGAGTCTAATAATTGTGTGTGTTATCTAGCATTCTTTATCCTAGATGTTAGCCACATTATTTTGTGCAAGAAATTTAGGTTTAAAATTCACAGTAACTTGGATGGTATCATAGGAAGCGTATCACATAAACAAATCAATCCTCTCTAGACAAACAGCATATTCCATGCCGTGTGTGAAACACTTAGAAATGCCCAGTGTTCACCTCTTCAAACTGACACACAGAGCTTTCACCCTCCCATCTCACGCTTATTGTTGGTCAGATGAAAGGAGAGTATTGATTCAGGCTTTCCTGATTTGTTTTGGTCTTTTTATTAGCTTCTTTCTCTATTGGCTCCAATCAGACTTTTAATTGTAGACCTCACTGAAATAAAAACAGTATCATTAAAAGACCAGTGTGTAACTATTTTAGTTTGCATGACTGTAGGAGGAATTTTCTGTAGTTTAGTGTGGACTTATAGATAATAAATATAATTATTAAATAGCAGGTGTTATCATATTGGATGATTATTATTAAGCAAGTGTTAACTGTAGTTGAGATACAATGATTATAGAGCATAGTGTTAACCAAGTGTCTTAAGAGTACTTATTACAGAAATAATATACTTTTAAAAGAATATGCTTAAGTGCAAACTGAATGTAATGTTTTGAATGCTTAACTGCATGTTAAGTGCAATTAAATTAAACTGTTCTATAGTTTACATTTATATTAAATGCAATTAGCTGAACTTTAGAGTATTTTTGGCCCGCTTAAGTAGGACTTAAGTACAGTTGTAGTAAATACAAATGAAGTTGCAATTTAGTATAAAATATATTAACTTTAAAAGTAATATTTAATAACAGACTACAATTATAATTATAACACAGTAATACAGTTATAATTATAACCACAGTTATAATCAAGTACTTTACATGTGTTTTAGTCCATTAGTCAACACATCAAAATAAGGGTACTTCTTTTAATGCATGACAAAAGTTCATTAAAGCATAATTATTAAAACTTTAAAGTAAAACATTTAATATGATATTATTACAAAGTGCACTTTATGAAAGAGTCATGGAATTATCTGTCTTTACACTTAAGTGGTCTTTTATTCCATTAGTATTATAGTATATGCAAGTACTGTTTTTACACTAGTGCACATTCAATACAATTAAGCATACTTCTTTTTCACAATTTGAATGTGTCTCAGATGTATATTACTATGTGTTTGTGTTTGCTCTCAGGGTCAGTGTTTGAGAGAAAGCTGTAAATATCTTCACCCTCCATCTCACCTCAAGGCTCAGCTTGAGATTAATGGAAGAAATAATCTGATTCAACAAAAAATGGCTACAATGTTACAGCAAATGCATTTTGTGCTGCCTGGATCCAGCCTGTCGTCATTGGTAAGGCCCTCACACTGTTTGGCCCTGCCCATTTTCTTACTTTTTTTACTCCTCCATGTGATATGCAAAACAGATGTAACGTTTGTACCTTCAGCTCTACTCTTGTAAAGGTAATTAGTTTTTTTTTTTTAAATAAATTACACATTTTTTGGTCAAACTGGATTTTGTGCTATTTGTCATTACAGGCCTCATTTCCTGTCACTCAGAGTTTGGGGGCGGGGTCTGGGATCAGCTACACCCCCTATGTCATGCCTGTCTCTCATGGGATTGGTGTGATCAACACTGAAATGCTTCCCAGTAACCATCAAGTCATCGTCCCCTCTGCCCCTCGAGTAGTAGTACAGACCTCACACGCCTCTCATCAGAAAGTGCTGCACTCTGACAAAATGGAGGTATAATTCAATAAAAACAACACACACACACACACACACTTACATACTTGTATATGTGGTTTACGGGGATTCTCCATAGGTGTAATGGTTTTTTTACTTGTTACGGAGTGAGCAGCGGAAACGTGCGGATCCATATGCAAGGCTTTATTTTAAGACCTGGTCAGAAACAGGCTAACACCAGCAAACAGATATAGCACAGGCAAGACACAAGAGAAGTCCGGTAAACAGGCGTTGGTCAATCAACAGCTAATGTAATTGTAATCGAACGAGGGCGAGGCAAACGGGTAATCCAGGCAGACAGACGATAATCCAGGCGAGGTACATACAGAGTCCGAAACGGCAATACAAAGAGGTAATCCAAGACAGACTATAATTCCAGGGCAGGCAACAGACAGACAGGACGAGATAAACAGACTAGAATACAGACTGAGGTAACCAGACTATGAACAAGACTAAATTAGAATCAGTAAACTCGGAATGGCTCCGTAATGTAGCTATCACTTGGAGAGTGATAAACGCAATACAATACTCGGCAGTGAGGAAGAGGGAAGTCCATGGTTTATGTAGGGTGTTTGATTGGTGGCAGCTGAGTGTGTAATCAGTGCAATGGATGATGGAAAATGTAGTCCGGGGTGACATGCAACAGTTTGTGTAGTGTGAGAGTCAATGTAATTGGAAGACAACAACAACTGGTGGCGAGCAGACGGAAAACCACTAACCGGATTCATGACAATACTGAGCTAATCATATATTCTATGCCCTAACCCCACCACTAAACATAACCCTCACAAAAACTACTGCCGTTTTTTTATATGAACAAAAACACAGTTTATTATGTTTTTAAGCCATTTGGTTTACAAGGACAACAAACAATGAATACTATCAAGTGTATGAGCCTGTTGGCTTAATTGGGGACCTGTAAATCCTGTTTGCATCCATGAGAGCCATTTTGTGTTCCTCTTTATGATCATGAATGTGATTTTAATTAATAAGGAACTTTAGGTAAATAAAGCAGTGTAAAGCTAGCTGTGGTTTATTTGGTTTTGTTACTTGTATGTTCATAGGTAGCTATTTGCCAGCCACCAAACGCTAACTTTTTATTGAGATTATTATTATTTACAAAAATTCATAAAAAATTAAAATAAAATAAAAAATCAGAAGCAGGATTATTATTGTTAACTAAAACTATTAAAACATTTTTTGTTAATTGAAATAAAGCTCAAATAAAATAAAATATAAATATTAGATGAAAACTAAGTGAAAATTAAACATGTTGCTGTGGCATCTAAGTAAAATAATTTTAAGTTGAAGGAAATTAATTGAATTTGAAATAAACAAAGACAAAAACTGAACTACAACTAAAATCGAAATAAATATAAATTAAACTTAAATAGTAATATTAAAAACAACTAATAAAAATGACAAAAGCACATAACAAAATGACTAAAAAATAAACAAAAATTAAATTAAATGAATAAAAAAATTTATATGAAAACTGAAATATATAAAAATAAAAGATAGTCTACTGATAACTGATAACACAGTGACTGTGTCCATGGACCATGTGAGGGGGAACTGCAACAGAGACAAATGCAAATACTTCCACCCTACAGCACATCAGCACATCCAGCTTCAAACCAGACAGACCCTCAGCCCATCCGCTACTGCCACGGTGAGAGCTATCACACTTCCTATCTGCACTCTTTCATGCACATTATAAAGAGTTCATCCCACAGCTGAATACTTATAAGCAGAGCCGTTTCCAGGGGCTGTGCGAAGTGTGTGACCACACAGGGCCTCACACTTTAGGGGGCCTTGTGAAATTTGACTAAGGGATTGCAAAATGCCAAAGACTATAGAACTATAGGATTTAAAAGGGATTTTAGACAGTAAGGAAAAAGTAAAAGAACTAGAATTTATTGTAATGCATTTGAATTCTAATATTTGTTTTAAAATATGCACACATTCACTCCTAATCACATGCCTAATGTGCCAAAAACAGCTCCGTTAATGTTTCTTGCCTCGTCACACTCAAACGAATTAAATTAATCAGAATCGCGTACAATTTCATATGTTCAATTCGAAATCAAAATGGCAAAAGTCAAGTAATTTGTGTCACTCTCTCGTAAAACACCTGACATAAATGAAATGTTTAGCTAGCCTGTATCTTACCTTGAGCTCTTTCATCGTTAAAACTGCATCATGCTGGAATTTGCAAAACATACATATACAGATGTACAGTGCAGCAGAGCAGCGTTAAGAATGTGAAATATTGAGGATGTGCCCCCCCCCCCCCCCCCCCAATGTCTAATGATATTGCATTAATGTAAACAGCATAGCATCACACAAAGATATCATTCAAAGACTTTTTATTCAAGAGTAAAAGCTCCCTGAAAATGGAATACTTCCTGTTTTAAAGACTAAAATAAAGAAACAGCAAACATATCAAAGCGTAAAACTGTAAGTGTACTATTTTAGAACTTCCTGAGACAAAATTGGCCCACTTTTTAGTTTTACAGAAGTATACTTTTAAGTTTAGCTTTGAGTACACAATTTTTAACACCAGTTTTTGTAACTATATACTGTGAACTACACTAGAGAACATACAGATAACTGACATAAATGCAAGAATGTATATTCATTAAGTAGAATGTATAAAAAAATATTTCCAAGTCTAGAAATCATACTCAAATTCCCTCATATATCCAGTTTTTTTTTTAGCTTTGAGTACACAATTTTTAACACCAGTTTTTGTAACTATATACTGTGAACTACACTAGAGAACATACAGATAACTGACATAAATGCAAGAATGTGTATTCATTAAGTAAAATGTATAAAAAAATATTTCCAAGTCTAGAAATCATACTCAAATTCCCTCATATATCCAGTTTTTTTAAAACCATGGGAACCCTGGTTCTAACATAAAGATACTGCTCTTTCTCTACTGCTAGTTCTCTTTAGATCACATTTTTAATTATATGTTGGATGTATACACATTGGATGTAGAAGCTCAGCTGGATATTTTGTGTGCACTTGCTTGTGGTTCTCTGCTTAAATTCTTTTTGCTTCTTTTTTTCACTTAATCCTTCACATGATGCACCTGCTTGCTGTATGTTAAACTCTTGGCCTGCTGCTATCATGTTGTGGCTTCATGCTGTTTGCAGAATCAGTCCAGTGCCAAAATACTGAAGCGACACCTTGAGACATCTGTCGACATGGTACTTCACCATCCACCCTTCACCTCGACTTTAATGGCTGCAGTCCATCAGAGGCGCATTCACTTAACATTTGTACCATTTTAGCGCACAGCGTTATAGTTCAGAACCCTGTGTCTTATTCACAAACCACATAGAGTCCTGGTCTGAAAATGTTACCGCTTGCTGTCAGCCATTGTCGGGAAGCATTTCCATTTAAACATTTGCCTCTTGATTAATGGCCCATGCAGAACACAGACAGGGCTCATTTTGTGGGCATGTACACACAGACAATATACACAAATATATAATGCTTCCAAAGGCCACAATTCATTCTCAGCAAATTCCCCTTTAGCTTTTCTTTGCTGCCAAAAGAAGTGTGCTTAATTGTATTGAATGTGCACTTGAAGTATACTTTAAATCTTAAAAGTATATTTAAAATACTGTACTTGCAGAAAATATAATTAATGAAATATAAGGCCATTTAAGTGTATTTAAAGAGAGACTTTCATGACTGTTTCTAAAAAGCATACGTCACATTAAACATCTTAAAGTACATTTTAAATCATTATGTTTTAATATCACATTTAAAATCAATATTACATTTAAATTTAATATATTTTAAATGGACTAAATTGCAACTTCATAATTGCAAATGTGTTTACAAATATATTTAAATTGACGACATAAAAGTATATTTTAGACAATAAAAATAATTATGAAATTACATATAAAGATGTACTTAAGTCTAAAGTTCAGCTAATTTAGTATAATATAGCATTTAATATACATTTAAATAATGTTTTCATTTGATTGCAGTTAACACTGAAAACATTGCATTCAGTTCACACTTTTAAATGTATATAATGTCCATAATAAGTACTCTAAAACTTTAGAAGTAAGTTAAAGTCTACTTATTTTTTTGCAAGGAACTGTTTGTGACATTGTTTGTGACATTTACCATCAACCAGACATTCACCAATAAATAATTCTAAACAGTCGAACCGAAATCTAAAGCAGAGCTCAAGCTACAAAGACAATGAAAGTAATTAAAGGGGTCATATGATGCAATTTAATTTTGGAGTGTTACAAGCTCTTGGTGCATAAAGAAGATCTGTAAATTTGCAAAGACTAAAGTCTCAAATCCAAAGAGATATTCTCTATAAAAGTTAAGAGTCAGTCACACCTACCTAAAACGGCTCGTTCTAACACGCCCCCACATGTCTACATCACTATGTGGGAAGATTTGAATAACGCCCAAATGTTCACGCAAAGAAAGAAGGCGTAACTTTTATTCTCGCTGTAGTATTGTTGTTGCCGCCGCCATGTCGTGAAGACGCTGTGTGCTTCATTGTGAAAGCGAAACTACTTTGTTTGGTCTTCCAAAAGAGGACGATATCCGCTTCATCATGCCTGGAGCTGAACCATGCTGGTCGCTGAGGAAATACATCAACTTAGTGCTGTGGATCGCCGGCACATTTTATGGAGGACTGTTTACTGATCCTGGGAGAGTAACGTTAGACTAAAATGCCGGCAGTTCTGACTCATGTAAGTACGTTTTCATTTATCATTTGCCACTGATGATTCAAATGTGAGTTTTGGGCAGTGTAGAGTAGCGCTTGTTGTTTGTCATTTCTCCGATCACAAATGCAGACAGGGTTTTATGTTTACGCGGCACGATGCAACGCAATGCGTAAAAAGACAGTATAAGTCATTATAATCCGTAATTATGTCCCCACTGGATGCAACAAATGCCTCGTTTGTAATGGGTTTTTATGTTTTTGTCTCATCGCTCCGGCCGGACAGGGCATCATCACAGTATGGTGAGGGGCGTAACATTTCCGTCTCACGCTTGAGGTATTTGGCCAATCACAACGCACTGGATAGCTGGCCAATCACAGCACACCTCGCTTTTTCAGACCGATGAGCTTTGTAAAAATTGACGCGTTTCAAAAAGGCGGGGCATAGAGGAGAAACAATAATCTACAGTATGTGGAAAATAATGTGTTTTTTTTACTTTAAACCGCATAAACACATTTCATTACACCAAATACACAAAATAATGTTCTTTTTAGCAACATCATATGACCCCTTTAAGAAAATACATAGAAATATGCACTCAAGTTCATTGCCTGTGAAGTTTTTAGTTGGCGACTAAAAGACTGTGTGTGATTGGCTTAAGTGGTTTTCACACATCAGTCTCTTGTGTCTTTCACTCTTCCTCTTGGTTTATGGCTGGTTTCAGGCTGCTCCTCATGCTCTGTTGGCTAAGCGTGTGGCTCTGGAGCCGACTGGAGTGGCAGGAGGTCTGTTTAACTGCGGCACACTGTCCTTCCAGCAGACCGTCAGCCCCACACCACTGCAGACGGCCACAGCGTTACTCCCCACAGGTACACACTCACATGTGCATGCAGTCACTTCACCTGCCCACATTTTTGCTACAAATTCCGTTATGTTTTTATTGCTTCTGTGTGTGTTCCTTGTTGAAAAAGTTCCCATGATGCTCGGTGCACCAGCTGTTCCTGCTATTAGCCCTTATGTCACTGCTGCCTCAGCAAACGCCAGTCAGGTTTGTTCATTTACTTTCCCACTAACCCTCCCTGACCTTCCACCTAAACCATCTGTTCAGATCAGATGTTAAACTGTCCATCACAGGAGAAAACATGTTTCCCTCTCAGTTTTCTGTAGTTTTGTCAGAAATGATTTCTCTGACAAAGTTGTCAAGCTTAAACGTTCAATAGTTTGAAGTTCTCAAAGTTACAGGATGTTTTCATAGTACATCAAGGACTTTAATCTAAAAGAAATCAAGCAAATTTGAAAATGTCTCATGACATGGTCTCTTTAAAGGGCCATGAAACCCTCATGAAAGGGCCTAAACCATAGTCTGGGGTTTCATGACCCTTTAAATATCATGGTTCAAATGACTTGCTGTTAACTTTTATTAATAAATATTATAGTTAATTTGTTTTCAGACACCATGTTATGTATCTATTTTTTATGTTCTGTGTACATGTGATGTTCACAAAGGACACACTGGCTTTGGTCTGTATTATGTTTTATTAAAGCATTAGTGGAGGAGGAGGAGCTCTGCAAATGATCTTTCTCTTTCTGTTTTCTTAAACAGATCATCTTAAAGTAAAGCACAGAATACGGACCCATTGCTAATATAATACACATGAATGGAAATTTTCATTGTCAACAATATTGGGTTAGAAATATTTAAAAGCCTGAGACCGCTGAATAAAATGCTTCTGTTTTGTATTTTTTCTAATTTTATACAAAATTCTATAAACTGTTATAATATAATTTCTAAAAATAGCTATTTTTTGCTTTAATGGCAGCAGCACTCAATATATATAAAAATGTATTTATATTTAATTGGTGATCTAGAAAAAGTGCAAATATTAGCTATATCAAATATTATAATATTTTTCAAAATCCCAAAAACGGTTCATTTCTGGGTTTAAATGGGAAAATCTATTTGCGGTGTGGTCTCAGACATTTAGACCTCATTGTGTATTTTAATGAAAAACTGCAGCTATTTAACAATAGGCCTAAAGCTTTCCTACTGTGTTCAAATACATATTCTATTTCATTTGTACTTGAGAAACGTCAGATGGCAGTTTGTAAAGGCTCTGCTCATCAGACTACAGACACTGCAGTGTGTTTAGTGGATGTTGGACGCAGGACCGCCGCAGTGTTGCAGCAGCTGCTCTCTCTCTCTCTCTCTTGTACGAACAGCGCCACCTACTGTCATGCTGCGGCTCATCCTGGCCACCGGGGGCGGCTGGGAAAACTGATGTGGCACATTGCCCAGCTCGTTTGTATCTACTTACTTATACAGGTGCATCTCAATAAATTTGACAATCCTCATAAGGCTGTGGTTCTCTCGGTTGGTTGTGCATCTTTTTCTTTCACACTTTTTCCTTCCACTCAACTTTGTTAACATGCTTGGATACAGCACTCTGTGAACATCCAGCTTCTTTGGCAATGAATGTTTGTGGGTTACCCTCCTTGTGAAGGGTGTCAATGATTGTCTTCTGGACAACTTTCAGATCAGCAGTCTTCCCCATGATTGTGTAGCTTAGTGAACCAAACTGAGAGACCATTTTGAAGGCTCAGGAAACCTTTGCAGGTGTTTTGAGTTGATTAGCTGATTGGCATGTCACCATATTCTAATTTGTTGAGATAGTGAATTGGTGGGTTTTTGTTAAATGTGAGCCAAAATCATCACAATTAAAAGAACCAAAGACTTAAATTACTTCAGTCTGTGTGCACTGAATTTATTTAATACACGAGTTTCAAAATTTGAGTTGAATTACTGAAATAAATTAACTTTTCCACGACATTCTAATTTATTGAGATGCACCTGTACTTAGCTTAATAACAGCCCGTTACTTTATTTTATGAACGTGCATTATACACTTGGTCAGGAGGACTGCTGTTCATTTTCAGCAGGAACAGCAGTGAAAGATAACACGACGACTGAAAAAAAAGTTACTTACAGTTGCTTTAAATTGTAGCTACAGAATTGTGGCCAATGGTGAGATCAATTAAAGCCCAGCAGGGTTATTGTGTACTGTACTAAAAGTTTACTAACTTTTGTGTTTGTATGCTTTTAAACATTTATTTAGCACTTAGACGAAGTTTAATAGAAGACAATCAAAATATGCCACAACCATCAACAAATTACTTCCTTTAAAAATAGCCTACAAGTTTTTGTTATGTTTTTTCTTCTTCTGATTGTGTTGTTTCTTCTTCTTCTGATTGTGTTGTTTCTTCTTCTTCTGATTGTTTCTTCTTCTTCTGATTGTTTTGTTTCTTCTTCTTCTGATTGTTTTTTTTCTTCTGATTGTTTTGTTTCTTCTTCTTCTGATTGTTTTGTTTCTTCTTCTGATTGTTTCTTCTTCTTCTGTTTGTTTTGTTTCTTCTACTTCTGATTGTTTTTTTTCTTTCTTCTTCTTCTGTTTGTTTTGTTTCTTCTACTTCTGATTGTTTTTTTTCTTTCTTCTTCTTCTGTTTGTTTTGTTTCTTCTACTTCTGATTGTTTTTTTTCTTTCTTCTTCTTCTGTTTGTTTTGTTTCTTCTACTTCTGATTGTTTTTTTTCTTTCTTCTTCTTCTGTTTGTTTTGTTTCTTCTACTTCTGATTGTTTTTTTTCTTTCTTCTTCTTCTGTTTGTTTTGTTTCTTCTACTTCTGATTGTTTTTTTTCTTTCTTCTTCTTCTGTTTGTTTTGTTTCTTCTACTTCTGATTGTTTTTTTTCTTTCTTCTTCTTCTGTTTGTTTTGTTTCTTCTACTTCTGATTGTTTTTTTTCTTTCTTCTTCTTCTGTTTGTTTTGTTTCTTCTACTTCTGATTGTTTTTTTTCTTTCTTCTTCTTCTGTTTGTTTTGTTTCTTCTACTTCTGATTGTTTTTTTTCTTTCTTCTTCTTCTGTTTGTTTTGTTTCTTCTACTTCTGATTGTTTTTTTTCTTTCTTCTTCTTCTGTTTGTTTTGTTTCTTCTACTTCTGATTGTTTTTTTTCTTTCTTCTTCTTCTGTTTGTTTTGTTTCTTCTACTTCTGATTGTTTTTTTTCTTTCTTCTTCTTCTGTTTGTTTTGTTTCTTCTACTTCTGATTGTTTTTTTTCTTTCTTCTTCTTCTGTTTGTTTTGTTTCTTCTACTTCTGATTGTTTTTTTTCTTTCTTCTTCTTCTGTTTGTTTTGTTTCTTCTACTTCTGATTGTTTTTTTTCTTTCTTCTTCTTCTGTTTGTTTTGTTTCTTCTACTTCTGATTGTTTTTTTTCTTTCTTCTTCTTCTGTTTGTTTTGTTTCTTCTACTTCTGATTGTTTTTTTTCTTTCTTCTTCTTCTGTTTGTTTTGTTTCTTCTACTTCTGATTGTTTTTTTTCTTTCTTCTTCTTCTGTTTGTTTTGTTTCTTCTACTTCTGATTGTTTTTTTTCTTTCTTCTTCTTCTGTTTGTTTTGTTTCTTCTACTTCTGATTGTTTTTTTTCTTTCTTCTTCTTCTGTTTGTTTTGTTTCTTCTACTTCTGATTGTTTTTTTTCTTTCTTCTTCTTCTGTTTGTTTTGTTTCTTCTACTTCTGATTGTTTTTTTTCTTTCTTCTTCTTCTGTTTGTTTTGTTTCTTCTACTTCTGATTGTTTTTTTTCTTTCTTCTTCTTCTGTTTGTTTTGTTTCTTCTACTTCTGATTGTTTTTTTTCTTTCTTCTTCTTCTGTTTGTTTTGTTTCTTCTACTTCTGATTGTTTTTTTTCTTTCTTCTTCTTCTGTTTGTTTTGTTTCTTCTACTTCTGATTGTTTTTTTTCTTTCTTCTTCTTCTGTTTGTTTTGTTTCTTCTACTTCTGATTGTTTTTTTTCTTTCTTCTTCTTCTGTTTGTTTTGTTTCTTCTACTTCTGATTGTTTTTTTTCTTTCTTCTTCTTCTGTTTGTTTTGTTTCTTCTACTTCTGATTGTTTTTTTTCTTTCTTCTTCTTCTGTTTGTTTTGTTTCTTCTACTTCTGATTGTTTTTTTTCTTTCTTCTTCTTCTGTTTGTTTTGTTTCTTCTACTTCTGATTGTTTTTTTTCTTTCTTCTTCTTCTGTTTGTTTTGTTTCTTCTACTTCTGATTGTTTTTTTTCTTTCTTCTTCTTCTGTTTGTTTTGTTTCTTCTACTTCTGATTGTTTTTTTTCTTTCTTCTTCTTCTGTTTGTTTTGTTTCTTCTACTTCTGATTGTTTTTTTTCTTTCTTCTTCTTCTGACTGTGTTTGTTCTTCAACAAACAACTTTCAAATACATTTAAATGTTTGATTATTAGTTTTGTATTGTCTGTCTCATTGCAAACATTTGTGCTGTTTAGATGAATATACTGAATTCAAAACAAGCTTATTTTCGTGTTTCCTTATTCCTATGCTATTATAAATTGACAGCATTCATAAAGAAAATGTTGAATCTAATGAACTATTGACTGTTTAACTCACCATGCTCTGATTTCATGATCACATGTGTTTGCACTTTTAGTCTGAATAACCTGCTATTTTTTTGGATGTAATAACCCAATAAAAAACTGAAATGGTTCCCTTAATGTACATTACAATCATGGCGGCATTAAACGCAACGGGGATGCATGAAATATATGAATTAATAAGACTGAAAAAGGTTATAGGCCGATGGAGTTATTGTAACGTACCCATACTGTTACCCATAATACTATAAGAAACAGAAATGGACAAAATTAAGGATCATCTACAGAAAATTTCACATGAAACAAACAAGAGGAAAAACGCATAAAAAGGACGAACATAATTTAATAATAATAATTAATAATAATTAAATGTAATAATAACATAAGCTGAATAAATAAGATAAATTAGAATAAATACAATTGTAAATATGCTATAATAAAGGCAGAACACAAATAATTTAGCTAGATAAAATAAGAACAATTGATAAGCATCTTGAGCGAAAGCAATGTTTCTGCCACATTTTTTTATTTCACAATATTAGCTTTTTTCTCTCCCAATTCTGACTTTTTGTTGAATTATAAGAAATACGCTCAGAATTGCATTGTATTTTGTTGCGAGAGTCAGAATTCTGAGTTTATAGCTTACAGTTTTGGGTTTGGGGGGGTGCTGTGAGGGGAAAACAGTAGAAATTACGTTTTTAATTATTTATTCTGTAGCGGAAACAACTTCCATAGTAGGCCTACTCATAAATAGAATCATCAAACTAAACCTCATAAATAGAAATATATAAAAAAGGCCACATGTTTCAAGAATCTAGCAGAAGATGACATAATTACGTCATGACGTAAAAGAATCAGTGAATCATTCTTGAACTGGTTCCTTCGAACGAACTGCTTCAAACAACCGGTTCGCCAAAATGACTCGGACTTCACAATAGCGGCGCGGCGGAGGATCCCCACCCGTGAGCATGGCGGAGTGCTAGTGCATTAATGAAGACCGGAGAGGGCAGACGGAGATGGAAAACACTAATATGCGCCCCGATCGCTTCAAGTAATCAGCTTTTAACGGACTGTGTAATAATTCACCGATGCCAGAGGCAGTCCGCTGGGTTTCTCCACGCAGTCTTCGTTTACTTCTATAGGATGGTGAGCTGGGCAGATAAAAAGCACAAGTTATTGGTGATTGCGTCTATCCAGCCGTCCCCCGTTGTGCATTACAGGCGCGCGCGGGCCGCCGGTGCTCCGTGATCATGAGGCGCTGCTGCGGGAAGCGAGGCGTGTGTGTGTCCGCGGACAGACTCGTTTAAACGCCCTAAACATGAATGCCATGGTCATGTCGAGTGCCGCGTGAGTTTACTCTGATTCGCTGAGCCGTTCAGACCGGAGAGATGCGCGAGTATAAAGTGGTGGTCCTCGGCAGCGGCGGGGTCGGTAAATCCGCCCTCACCGTGCAGTTCGTCACCGGGACGTTTATTGAGAAGTACGACCCGACCATCGAGGACTTCTACCGGAAGGAGATCGAGGTGGACTCGTCGCCGTCGGTGCTGGAGATCCTGGACACGGCGGGCACGGAGCAGTTCGCGTCCATGCGGGACCTGTACATCAAAAACGGGCAGGGCTTCATTCTGGTCTACAGTCTGGTGAACCAGCAGAGCTTCCAGGACATCAAGCCCATGAGAGACCAGATCATCCGAGTCAAGAGGTGAGATGGGCTTTGCACGCATCTGTGCTCAGGACTGGCCCGTGCGTGCAGCTGGGCCTCTGCTACAGGCCTGTCGCTGGAGCCCTGGTGTGCCTCATGTCTGTGTGCACTGAATTTATTTAATACACGAGTTTCACAATTTTAGTTGAATTACTGAAATAAATGAACTTTTCCACGACATTCTAATTTATTGAGATGCACCTGTATATGAGCTTTGAAGCTTCCAAATGTCAAAGTCTCCTTTCTTTCTTTCTTTTTCTTTCTTTCTTTCTTTCTTTCTTTCTTTCTTTCTTTCTTTCTTTCTTTCTTTCTTTCTTTCTTTCTTTCTTTCTTTCTTTCTTTCTTTCTTTCTTTCTTTCTTTCTTTCTTTCTTTCTTTCTTTCTTTCTTTCTTTCTTTCTCTCTTTCTCTCTCTCTCTCTCTCTCTCTCTCTCTGCAATTCTTTGAACAGGCCCACAACAGATAGAATGACTCCTGGGAAAATGCTCTTCATATACGATTTTAAAATGCATTTATAGGAACCCCCCCACACAAAACATTTGCTTTTCACACATAAAAAACATTTAGCTTTTTTTTTTTTTTTTTTTACATGCCCCAAAACAATAAAGTGAATATTTCCTATATTATATAAATATTTATATAAAGAGCATTTTCCCGGGAGGGAAAAACTTGCATTTGGAGGCTGTGTGTGTGTGTGTGTGTGTGTGCACATTTATGTATGTATTCATGTCTGAGTATCCCTCCCCTTATACCACCATAGCAATAAAAGTAGTCCATAAAATAATTAATAAAATAGAATTAGCTTTTTTTTTTTTTTTTTTTACATGCCCCAAAACAATAAAGTGAATATTTCCTATATTATATAAATATTTATATAAAGAGCATTTTCCCGGGAGGGAAAAACTTGCATTTGGAGGCTGTGTGTGTGTGTGTGTGTGTGTGTGCACATTTATGTATGTATTCATGTCTGAGTATCCCTCCCCTTATACCACCATAGCAATAAAAGTAGCCCATAAAATAATTAATAAAATAGAATAATTATTATTATCATTATTAAAATCATAGTTTCTGGTTTCTAGTCAAGTGCAATTGCAAGTAGCTGTAATTTAGAGATCTGGAAGGCTTGAATTAATCAAAATCATTTGAGCATTCAACACCCTGAAATTATCTTTTTTATCTATCTGTCTGTCTATCTTTCAAAATAGGAAATTCACTTTGTTGTGGGCATGTTCAAAAAATTGCAAAATGTTTTTTTATTATGTCTGAAATGCAATTTGATAACTTTATTTTGTGTTTTTTTTTTATTAATGCATTTTACAAACATGTTTTATCTTTAATGTTTAGGTACTAGAAGTAGAATGTTTTGTCCTTGGTTTTTGTCATTTGAGGTTGGTTTTTGGCCTGTAGAAGGAGAGTAAGTGCTTTCAGGAAAGCAAATGTGGAAGTTTATAAATTGTTGGGATGTATTACAGCAGTTGTAACTTGTTCTTAAAAACAATTATTTTGTTATTCAAGACTTCCTGAGAATTATACAGAAAATAGAGACGAGATACAAATGAGACTTTTTCATGGGGCTTTTAAATCAGAGCTTGTTTGACTGCATTCAGTGCCATTGAAAATAAAATGTAAGCAACAAGTGGCACAAAAACTTGCTAATAGAATTCGATCATATTTTAAACTGATTCTAATCATTTAAGAATTCCCTAAGGATCTATTAAGATCCCACTGAAAAACAGGAATTTTTCAGGATTCTTTCTGGATTCCATTAGTATGCTTTAGGATTGGCTCACAAATAAAATGCAGGAGCAATCCATCTCCATTAGGAGCTTTACTTATTAGGAACAGTTGGTGAAATAAAGATTATAATAAGCAAAATAATTGGGGTGGAATAAAAGCGATTACATTATTACTTTTGAAAAAAAAAACGTTTATCCTTCGTATCAGTTTGTAACTCAGCCCTAAACTGTGGTGTAACTCCCACTAACTTCAGTCACCCTGAACCAGAAATACATATACAGCCCTGCAAACAACATCTCCTGCCACGCAAATAATATAGATCTTCACTCTCATGCAGAAGGATGTTTCTGCATTCAGAAAATATTGAATAATTAAATGGCATAAATATTTCACACAGTAAAAGCGATGCATAATGAGGAGGAGATCGTGGGAGTAAGAGACGTCTGTCACAGTGCTGTTTGTTCTTGTTGAAGGATGAATGAGACACAGGTAGTCAAAGAGCAGAGAAGGGTTTAGTGCCATTTACAGAAATTAATGACTAAAACCGGTGATTCTAATAACAAGTGTAACTGTTATTATTGCTCATATTCATACTGTAAAAAATCGCATTATAATAACAATGCAATAAACAGTAATTTAACAACATAAGATGCAACTAAACCACTGATACGAATAAGCTAAGAAGAATGGCTAAATTAATACTAGCACCTTCTATTCCTATTCTATATATTTTTTTCTATTTATTAAAAAAAATGCTATGTATACTTTTAAACTAACTGGGACTTGTCACAGCAATCACGAATTGTTTCTCTTTTATTGGTTTGATTGCTGTTAGAGTTATTACAGTTTTTCACCATATATAGCAAGGAAACAAAGCCAATATAATACCAGTATATTGGTAACCAATAAAGTTTGACACTCTTTTACTGTTCAAATCTGCATTTTTGTACAGTTTGGTTATCCATGGTTAGGGATTTCAACAAACCAAAGCATGTAACTCATCACGCAGTAACTACAAACTTGAGTGATACTTCAGATAATGCAGCTCGTGGATGATAAAACCAGCATGATATTTAGAGACCAGAGGTTGTAATTTTTGACTTGGGCCAGATATAACCATAGGAACCACATAGCAACCCCCTTGATACTGACCAAAACACCCAAGCATTGTGGTGGCCAGTTTTGCAATCAAGCAACACTAAATGTTACTAAAATGGTACCGTACTACAGACATGTGACCCATTTTTGGTTCATGACCAAGCGGCAACCTCCCGCTCTCTCTCGTGAAGCCAACACGGAAGTGACTTAAACTGTAATTCATCAACTGGCCACTAGAGGCTGGCTGCAAAAGGGAGTCAATCCCATAGACTCCCCATGTTAAAATGCCCAACTTTACAGCAGAAAAAAACATGTTTACAGCCTGGTTCAAAAAATGATTTTGGTTTATAAAGCTAATTTTGCCCTTCATGACAACTGTGAGGGGGTGAATTTTTTTATAACTCGTCCTTTTAAATTATATTAAGCCTTAAATTTCTGCATAATTAAGGGCTTGGCCACTTGAGTGACAGGTGGATTGCCGCTGCTGTCACCACCGTGGAGCTAGGTGGGCGTGGCTTCAGCAACCTGCTCCCACCTCCTTGCCCATTTTCGATTATCCGGGAGTGACACGCTGCCAAGATGGCGACGGCCGCCCCCGCCCACTTTTGAGCTTCAAAAACGCTCTTCGGAAATCTACGGGTGACGTCACGGACACTACGTCCATGTTTTTATACAGTCTATGTTCATGACCCACAAATTGTGACAGCACACTGTCCTTCTAGAAGAACTTTGAAATGGTGATGTTATTTGTGGTTGGTTAATAACAGGGTGTGTTTGCAGGGGGCGTGGCTTCAGTAACCCCACCCTCCTCATCCTCTCTTGGCCATGATTAGTTGTTGTCTTTCGCCTAGAGCACTCGCTGCCAAGATGGCGACGGCCGCCTCCGCCCACTTTTGAGCTTCAAAAACGCTCTTCGGAAATCTACGGGTGACGTCACGGACACTACGTCCATGTTTTTATACAGTCTATGTTCATGACCCACAAATTGTGACAGCACACTGTCCTTCTAGAAGAACTTTGAAATGGTGATGTTATTTGTGGTTGGTTAATTACAGGGTGTGTTTTCAGGGGGCGTGGCTTCAGTAACCCAACCCTCCTCATCCTCTCTTGGCCATGATTAGTTGTTGTCTTTCGCCTAGAGCAGGGGGTAGGCAAGTTCGGTCCTAGAGAGCCGTCAGTGTTGGAGCTGAACTCTGCAGGACTGCGGCTCTCTAGGACCGAACTTGCCTAACCCTGGCCTAGAGGAAGACTGTACTGTGAGACTTCAGACGTGAGGTGCAGGATGTATTGTGTGTCTGCCGTCAGAAAATAGTATAATCACAGCGATCCATTTTGATACAGTTGAGCTAATTAAACAAAAAGGTGAGGCCATGATAGGCTATGTTGTGAATATAGTCGATTACACAACTGTTTGAAACCTTGGAGTCAGTAAGTCTTTTGTTTTTAATGTTCTTAATGTCTCTTTTGTTATCAAGGCTACATTTGTTAAAATAATACAGTGAAAACAGTCCTATATTATTACAATTTAAAATAACTGCTTTCTATGTTAATATATTGTAAGATGTCATTTATTCCTGTGATGCAAAGCTGAATTTTCAGCATCATTACTCCAGTCTTCAGTGTCACATGATCCTTCAGATATCATGCTAATATGCTGATTTGGTGCTCAAGAAACATTTCTGATTATCTATGCTGAAAACAGTTGTGCCGCTTTATACTTTTGTCACATTTGATCAATTTAATGCATCCTTGCTGAATAACAGTATCAATTTCTTTTAAAAAATCTTACTCGGCCTACAATTTTGAATGATCGTGTGCATTCGAAAATAAAATTATTAAAGACACACATTTTATGAAGGCAATATGGTAAACAAGTAAAATGTTATATAATTTGTCCTTCTTAAAAATGATATTTACTAGTACAGTAATATCATACTCTGACATATCCATGAGCCAATCAAATCCTGATGGATAAAATCAAGATAAAAATAAATTTCCTTTAAAATATTGTTTCACTCATACATACATGACACATGGAAGTTAAAAGCATGTTGAATGCATCCTAAAGTAAATGCCCTTGCACTGTGCACTTGTAGTGTACTTCAAATAAAAGTATATATTTAAAAACTATATATTGCAGATAATATATTAATGAAATTAAGGAAACTTTCATGACTGTTTCTTAACGCACCTAAGGGCTTTACTTTAATGTACATGTCAAATCATTGGCAAACCATCTATCATGCTTTAAATAAGTTATTTTAAAGTATATAATTTCTTTAAATAAGTACTCTTTTTAAAAGTATGCTAAAGTCTACTTCTTGTTCACAAGGAATGATTTGCATAAATGCGGTTTGATCTTTCTTAAGCGAAACTGTACATGTTTTTTCAGGTATGAGAAGGTCCCTGTGATCCTGGTGGGGAATAAGGTGGATCTGGAGGGCGAGCGGGAGGTGTCTGTGAGGGAGGGACAGGCGCTGGCCGAGGAGTGGGGCTGTCCGTTCATCGAGACGTCTGCCAAGAGCAAGACAATGGTGGACGAACTCTTTGCCGAGATCGTACGGCAGATGGACTACACGGCACAGCCAGATAAAGATGATCCGTGCTGCTCCTCCTGCAATATACAATAACCCCCCAACACACACACACACGCTCTGCACACTCAGAGAACTCGCATTACAGTAGCTTTGATAGACCTTCTAGTGTTCACGGTTTTCCATCATGCTGTATCTGCAGACTGACAGTAAAGGATTTTTTTGTTTTCTTGTCACTTTAAATCCTGACTGACTCAACCACAGGAAGAGCACTTGCCTTAGGTTTCACGTTTCCTGTTTGAGCAGGATCCTGCAGTGGCCATGAGTTGGACATTTACGTTCTTGGTCTTATGGTATTGATGACTTTATCTGAATTTGTCACCAGGTCAGAGAGCGAGAGAGAGAAAATAAGAGGGTTCTTAGCCATATGCTTGATATAGCCATATAATAATTTTATGAAGACTTTATAAATGTTCATTTATTTGGGAATAAATCCCTCAAAATCTTAATTTTCTCATCAATTTCTTTACTGACACAGAAAAGGTGACTGACAGCTTTGTTCCAAAACCTAGTTAACTGCCTAACTAGACAGAATTAAAGCCCAAACTAAGTTCCTTATGCATTCCCAGAATGCATTGCGGTGAGCTCTATGAAAAATTCATCCAAGATGGTGGACGAGATTCTAAATATTCTTGGATTTCATTTTACTCATATTTTGCTAAAAATAGTAAAATCTCTTTTTTTTGTAATATGTGAGTGTTGTATGCATTCGTATGCATTGCACACACATGTAGCGTATCATGCTGTTAGCTTAGCGACATGCTAATGTCGAACTCTCCAAATCCAAGTTGTATGCATTTCACATAAGCAGCAGTGTTTGTGTGACGCACAGTAGGGCTGAACGATTCATCAAAATGAACTCAAAATCGTGATATGGTTTTGTGCAGTTGTCAAATCACAAAGGCTGCAGTTTAATTATATAAATATACATTGCACATTTCAGAGTGAAGTTATGATGAGTGTTTTTAGTCGCTTATAAAGCATTTATGAACCTGCTCCAGTCAACAAAGGAGAAGCTTTAAAGTCGGCATTAAATGGAAGTTGTGACCATCTTTGTTACTTCTCAAACAAGAAAAAAGTTTGGGTGGGGCTTGATTATGTTCTTTGGGAATTGATTGGATTGTTGTCATTTGCTAATTGCTGCAGTCGCTTGTGATTGACAGGTTGCTTTAAATTAAATAAAAAAGTAATCCTGCAGAAATCATAAAATAAACACTGCAGTATACCATCAAAATTAAGATTTGTCCCTTTTGATTTAAGGGGCTCTCTGCAGTTTTCCACCAAAGTAAAAGTTTGATGGGTTAATGTTTGATAATGGTTTATTATTTTAATATTTTATTTTACAGTAAACCATATGGATATGGAAGCCCATTTCCGCCACTGAATAAAAAATAAAACGAGGTAATTGCGACTTTTTATCTCACAATTCTGACACGGAATTGCGAGTTATAAAGTCAAAATTGTGAGTTTTAAAGTCAGAATTGCGAGATATAAACTCACAATTGTGGGAAAAAACATTATATCACGCAATTCTGACTTTATAACTTGCAATTGTGTGTTATAAAGTCAGAATTGCGAGATATAAACTCGCAATTGCGAGAAAAAACGTTATATCACGCAGTTCTGACTTTATAACTTGCAATTGTGTGTTATAAAGTCAGAATTGCGAGATATAAACTCGCAATTGCGAGAAAAAACGATATATCACGCAATTCTGACTTTATAACTTGCAATTGCGTGTTATAAAGTCAGAATTGCGAGATATAAACTCGCAATTGCGAGAAAAAACGTTATATCACGCAGTTCTGACTTTATAACTTGCAATTGTGTGTTATAAAGTCAGAATTGCGAGATATAAACTCGCAATTGCGAGAAAAAACGATATATCACGCAATTCTGACTTTATAACTTGCAATTGCGTGTTATAAAGTTGTGTTTTTCCAAGTGTCGAGACTTTCTATTGCACTTTTCCAAATGAATGGAGTGCAGCATAAGCTCCTGTCTCTGATTGGACTGCTCATGCGGGACAGGGACGTATCGCCCTCCACATCTGGACACACAGAAGATCTGTTCATTTAGGATCTCGTATGGCTCTGTAGGACTCGTCTCTTTTTCTGTCTCTCTGGTTTATCACTCTCTTTCTCACGCATCTCTTCAGCATCTCAGCCCCTTTCTGCACTCGTTCTCAGTATTCTGCCGTGCTCGTGTGGGTCATTGATGCAGATGATGATGGCTGTTGGTTGACTGTGGATGCATTTGTACAGAGGTTGCCAGTTTTTGTTGGTATCCTCCTCTTGGCTGGGCTTGAGGTTCGAAATGATGCTGAAAATTCAGCTTTGCCAAGACAGAATGAAATTACATTAAAAAAATGTATTAAAATAGACAGCAGTTAATTTAAATTGTAATATTTCACAAGATCACTGTGTTTTTCATCAAATAAATGCATCCTTGGTGAGCATAAGAGACTTCTTTCAAAAACATTTTCCCAAACTTTTGATTGGTAGTGTACCATAAAATATACAGCATACTCTGTATACTAAAATGTAGCAGGCAGTGTACAGCTTTTTTTGGTTGATTACATAGTATCATTCGGTACACATACATAAACAGGAAAGTCTATGTGATGCAGATGATGATGGCTGTTGGTTGACTGTGGATGCATTTGTACAGAGGTTGCCAGTTTTTGTTGGTATCCTCCTCTTGGCTGGGCTTGAGGTTCGATCTCAAGGCTGAACATATAGAGATTATGGAGGTGTGTGTGTGTTTGAATAGAGAGCTTCGAGTCAGTATTGATTTTATATTTTTTTATGTGGACCTGTGCTCAACTCTTCTGAATGACTGAATGGTGACACTCGTATTTTTTGTTCTGTTTGGCACCCAAATAAAGTGCATCTGACACTGCAATGCAGTTTCTGTGTTTTTTCCATGTTTTATAACCTATGTAATAGGTTGATTACATAGTATCATTCGGTACACATACATAAACAGGAAAGTCTATGTGAACAGTAAGCTGCTGTTATATGGAGTAATATTTTCTGGTGGACCTGAACTCTCTGCCCACTCACTGGACAAAGGAATGCAGAGAAAAGCAGCCAAGAGAGGACATGGGAAATGGACAGAGGATGTAAGAGCAGAGCAGTGAGGGGGAGATTCAGACATCAGCATGAGACTTATTGCTGGCCTGGGTGTCATGGCAACAGCATGGCAACATATACTGCCAATTTCACACTCTAATTTGCAGGGATTTGGTTGGCCAAAAATAGTTAGTGGGGGAAGATAAGAACACACACCATCTATCAAATCCATCAGGATAGCTGCTTGTCATATGGCAGATACTGTATATGTAACGGAGCCTCCTTGTTAGTGTGTCCGCCTCCCATGCCGGAGACCCGGGTCCGAGACCCACTCGGAACAAGAATGAGGTGTGGCGGAGAGGACCCGGGAGAGAGGGGTTACATTGGTGCCGTGACCCGGATGGGAGTGAGGCTTAGGGGGGTGAGTGTAACAGAGGCCAGCGAGTAGGTGCTGTGCAGGTAAACCTCACTCCCCTGATCTCAAGAGACGCACTAGTGACTGACGCTAGAAGCTGCAGTCTTTAGCCTCCTTGTTAGTGCGTCCACCTCCCATGCCGGAGACCCGGGTTCTGTCGACCCGGAACAAGAACAAGCTGTGGCGGAGAGGACCCAGGAGAGAGGGGTTACATTGGTGCAGTGACCCGGATGGGAGTGAGGCTTAGGGGGTGAGTGTAACGGAGGCCAGTGAGTAGGTGCTTTGCAGGTAAACCTCACTCCCCTGATCTCATGGGATTGGATAATCTGTTTTACTTGGCACTTTAACTCGGGAAGTGTTCGGCCTGTTCTGGTACTAAATTATACACCCTGATCCTCTTGATTATCTCAAAAGAATCTGCGCCCTTAAAGGAACAGTTCACCCTAAAATAAAAAAATATGAAATTTTGCATTACATCACTTGCTCACTGATGTGAATGGGTGCCATCAGAATGAGAGTCCAAACGGCTGATAAAAACATCACATTAATCCACAAGTAATCCACAACACTTCAGACCATCAGTTAATATCTTGTGAAATAAAGACTGTGGACTCGTATTTCAGCCAGAAGTGATGGCTTGAAGTTAAAAATGTCTTGATGGATTTGTTTCTTACAAACCCGCAGCATTTAACTTCACAAGGCATTAACTGATGGACTGGAGTGTTGTGGATTACTTGTGGATTATTGTGACGTTTTTATCAGCCGTTTGAACTCTCATTCTGACGGCACCCATTCACTGCAGATGATCCATTGGTGAGCAAGTGATGCAATTCTACATTTCTCCAAATCTGTTCTGATGAAGAAACAAACTCATCTACATCTTGGTGAGTAAAGGGTAAGTAATTGTTTTCATTTTGGGGCGAACTATGTTTTGAAATATCGAGAATTCCGCTCATTTTAAAAGAAGATTTTAAAGAGTATTTTAATATGTCACACAATCATGCCACATTTTTTATGGCTTTAAATTTGATACAGTTTATTAATTACAATTGTTGGTCAAAACAGTTATTTGATAATTGCTTTACTGTTTAATTTTGCTGAAAAACTATTTTTGGTACATCTTATGTAATTTCATAATGATTTCTACTGTCTTTGAAATATTGTGCAGGTGTACTGCTGAATGTACTTTTTAACAAGAGCAGAAACTGACTAATTTGGCTGTAGAACTGGCTGATGTAATTCATATAGGCTCCTTTGGCTACTGTTACTGTAGCTCACAGTCAGACTGCGTTATGGTGCTTCACTCTGCAGATGGCACCATATGAACGCAAAGCTCGTTGTGTGTTGGCTGGATCTGTGCTGTGCTCAGTCAGTGTAATCCCGTCTCTCCACCGGCCGACATGGCGACTGCGCGGACGCTCATATGCTCCACGACAACCTGCATCTGAAGCGGCTCCGGGCGGCCAGCATCGCCGTCGCGCTCGGTGCATTCGTGGACAAACGCACACTTGTACACAGTGGATTTATAATCGGGGTAAGCGTATGGATTCATCTTCTCATTCACAGTGCTCTGTGCTTGGAAGAGATTAAGGGGTAAATCTAGCCACAGATTTGAGCCGGAGGACTGAGGACATCGCTGAAGGTCCGTCCCGTTATATTTCTATTATGCACCGACACGCGTTCTGCTATAGGCTGTATTATGAGTCCATTCACTTGATGAAGCCCAGAGCAAAAGGCATATCGAAATAATGTGTTCCTCTAAGGACCTTCACATTAGACGCCAATAGACCTGCTCTGCGCTTTGTTCAGTTTACATCGCCCGTACGCGTACGACGCGACGCGACCGGCGCTGTTTTCACTGCAAGCGCGCGACGACGCTCCATTTCTATTTTCTATTCCCCCGTTCAGTCTGAAGCAAAATGAGCGTATAAATATGATATGTGTGCATTGAGTGTTATGAACAGCCTAATTGTTTAAATAACGTCTGGTCGTTAAATCAAAGCCAACTCGTGGTTACGAGTGGCATATTCAACATTATTTGGTAACATTATTTCGCTGTTTTAAAATAGACAATGGAAAGTCGATTTAGAATTTAAATGATTTTCATTCATTTTATTGCACCTGACTGAACGCTGTGAGGTGAGTCAAGTCAATAAAGCTCGACTTGACATGTGGTGCCGTGCCGCGCCGACGCGACCCAAATACACAAAATACTGTTCTTTTTAGCAGCATCATATGACCCCTTTAATAAGAATTCTTTCTAAATGCAGCACCGTTCTTATTTCGCTCTGCATAACCTGAACGAAAAAAAAAATGTTTTGCTAAGAACGAACCGAAATGAAAACATTTCACTTTTAATCTGTGTATTTAACAGCCTGGGAGACCTTCCCAGGGCAGTACCTTGCCTCACCGACTAAAATCAGGGTGCCCACTACGGAGATGGCACCAGAGGTGAGGGGGCACAGTGACCGAGGTGGCCGGGCCGGGCCCCCTCAGGCCCCCCGTGGCGCCGACGCTGCGTGACAGCATTGGATAGAGAAATTAGTTCATTTACAAGCTTCCTTACAAACGGGTGCATAGTTATTATTATTATAATTATTATTTACTCTTACAGTTACGTGATGCGTTTCTGATCTCAAATTGTAGCTTTTTACTTCTTACAGTTTATAAATGTGTGAATTTCTGTCATGATGGTTCTTTTCCATAACACTGAATGTTTTAACAAAGGTAATAAAGAGTTGGTTATTATTATTAAGTCTCTTTCCGGCTCAGACTGCATAGGTTAAGCTTATGGGGCTGTCACATGATGAACGAAGGACTCGAAAAACCCGAAGACTCGAAACAGGTGAACTACTTGACTAATTCCAGTTCAGAACCTATAGGATGTTGCGCATGCGCGACTGAACGAATCACTCCCCGAGATGACTCGTTCTTCCCAAGTCACATTAAAGATTCGTTCAAAATGAACGAATCGTTCAAGAACGACCCAACACAATTATGAACCCATATGAAATTATTTATCCCCCAGGGAAAACTGTTACTAATGAGGGGAATTAACTGAACTGTTATTGTCATCAACTCTCATCCATACGTATTCATTTTAATAATCTTTTTTTTAATAATTCATGTAATTTAACATGAGCAAATAATGTCTATTATTTTGGTTTGTGAGATCGGATCGTGCTGCGCGCACACAGAAACATTCAGGAGCACAGAAACTTGTCGTCAACGCTGCCCCACAACTTTTAATAATAAAGTAGCTTATGTAACGGAGGCCAGCTGGTAGGTGCTTTGCAGGTAAACCTCACTCCCCTGATCTCAAGAGACGCACTAGCGACTGACGCTAGAAGTTGCAGTCTTTAGCCTCCTTGTTAGTGTGTCCGCCTCCCATGCCGGAGACCTGGGTTCAAGACCCACTCGGAACAAGAACAAGGTGTGGCAGAGAGGACCCGGGAGAGAGGGGTTACATATACGGAATGTGATCTACAGCACACTTGTTGCAGGAGCGATCTTTCTATCTGGAGAAACCTGCTTTATAAATGGCATAAACACACATGACTGCCCACAGATGTCTTAATGTGAATTTGTATTTCTGCTTTAAAAGTGATTTGGAGATCCTGGCATGTGTGCATCAGCCTGAAGGGGTTTATTATGTAAAAATGACCAGCTGAACACAGTATATAGATTACACATTTTATTTTTTTATTTGTTCACATACAGTAAAGACATTTAACAGGCTTACTTCACCAAGAAATAGCCAAGAGAAACGTAACAAGGAAACACTCCAGGAAAAAGGAAAGGAAATGCATTTCAATTAAATAAAACAAGAATTCAAAGCAGAACACGTATCAAGATCCATATATGCAGGTGGCCATTAGACCCAATACGTATAGTTTCTTTCATAAAAGAGGAATGAAAAGCTGAGAGACAGCAACAGGGTTGATTGTACTTTTATAAGGATTAAGTTAAGCACAGTACAGAGCTAAATTATTAAACATTTAACTATGATGCAAATTAACAGTTTAAAGGAGTTTAAAGGAATAGTTCCCCAAAAATTTACATTTGCTAAAAATGTCAAAACAAAAATGTGCTCTTCATCTGAACGGATTTGTATAAAAATGTAGCATTGCATCACTTGCTCAGCAGTGGATCCTCTGCAGTGAATGGGTGCCGTCAGAATGAGAGTCCAAACGGCTGATAAAAACATCACATTAATCCACAAGTAATCCACAACACTTCAGACCATCAGTTAATATCTTGTGAAATAAAGACTGTGGACTCGTATTTCAGCCAGAAGTGATGGCTTGAAGTTAAAAATGTCTTGATGGATTTGTTTCTTACAAACCCGCAGCATTTAACTTCACAAGGCATTAACTGATGGACTGGAGTGTTGTGGATTACTTGTGGATTATTGTGACGTTTTTATCAGCCGTTTGAACTCTCATTCTGACGGCACCCATTCACTGCAGATGATCCATTGGTGAGCAAGTGATGCAATTCTACATTTCTCCAAATCTGTTCTGATGAAGAAACAAACTCATCTACATCTTGGTGAGTAAAGGGTAAGTAATTGTTTTCATTTTGGGGCGAACTATGTTTTGAAATATCGAGAATTCCGCTCATTTTAAAAGAAGATTTTAAAGAGTATTTTAATATGTCACACAATCATGCCACATTTTTTATGGCTTTAAATTTGATACAGTTTATTAATTACAATTGTTGGTCAAAACAGTTATTTGATAATTGCTTTACTGTTTAATTTTGCTGAAAAACTATTTTTGGTACATCTTATGTAATTTCATAATGATTTCTACTGTCTTTGAAATATTGTGCAGGTGTACTGCTGAATGTACTTTTTAACAAGAGCAGAAACTGACTAATTTGGCTGTAGAACTGGCTGATGTAATTCATATAGGCTCCTTTGGCTACTGTTACTGTAGCTCACAGTCAGACTGCGTTATGGTGCTTCACTCTGCAGATGGCACCATATGAACGCAAAGCTCGTTGTGTGTTGGCTGGATCTGTGCTGTGCTCAGTCAGTGTAATCCCGTCTCTCCACCGGCCGACATGGCGACTGCGCGGACGCTCATATGCTCCACGACAACCTGCATCTGAAGCGGCTCCGGGCGGCCAGCATCGCCGTCGCGCTCGGTGCATTCGTGGACAAACGCACACTTGTACACAGTGGATTTATAATCGGGGTAAGCGTATGGATTCATCTTCTCATTCACAGTGCTCTGTGCTTGGAAGAGATTAAGGGGTAAATCTAGCCACAGATTTGAGCCGGAGGACTGAGGACATCGCTGAAGGTCCGTCCCGTTATATTTCTATTATGCACCGACACGCGTTCTGCTATAGGCTGTATTATGAGTCCATTCACTTGATGAAGCCCAGAGCAAAAGGCATATCGAAATAATGTGTTCCTCTAAGGACCTTCACATTAGACGCCAATAGACCTGCTCTGCGCTTTGTTCAGTTTACATCGCCCGTACGCGTACGACGCGACGCGACCGGCGCTGTTTTCACTGCAAGCGCGCGACGACGCTCCATTTCTATTTTCTATTCCCCCATTCAGTCTGAAGCAAAATGAGCGTATAAATATGATATGTGTGCATTGAGTGTTATGAACAGCCTAATTGTTTAAATAACGTCTGGTCGTTAAATCAAAGCCAACTCGTGGTTACGAGTGGCATATTCAACATTATTTGGTAACATTATTTCGCTGTTTTAAAATAGACAATGGAAAGTCGATTTAGAATTTAAATGATTTTCATTCATTTTATTGCACCTGACTGAACGCTGTGAGGTGAGTCAAGTCAATAAAGCTCGACTTGACATGTGGTGCCGTGCCGCGCCGACGCGACGCGACGCGACCAGAACGCGCACTGAAAGACTAAAGCGCTTCACGAGCCATTCTGAAACCTTCCACGTGTAATTCATTTTAATGTTGAAAGACCACGAAAAAGCAGTCTCACTCTAAAAAACTTTGGGTCAAAGAACCGTTGGGTTACATTTTTACATTACATTTTTAACCCAAAAGTTGGTTTAGTCCATATTTGACCCAAAGTTGGGTTGAAACCACCCAGCATTCTTTAGAGAGTATGATTTGAATTATGGATGTTTTCGAGGTTTAAAAGGGTGAATGATTTCAGAGAATAAGGTCCGCTATAAATTCAATGCAAAAGCCTATAGGAGTTTAAAAGCTTGAGAGCCCATCTCAGCAGTGGTCTCACATAGGGATTTTTTTTGGTACACTCTAAAAAATGCTGGGTTAAATACAACCCAGTGCTGGGTAAAATAGGGACAAACCCAGCAATTGGGCTGTTTTGACCCAGCGGTTGGGTTAAATGTTTAACCCAACCTTCTGGGTAGTAACCCAACCGCTGGGTCAAAACAACACAATTGCTGGGTTTGTCCCTATTTTACCCAGCACTGGGTTGTTACCAGCATTTTTTAGAGTGTAAAATCATAATTTTACTAATTTTTAATAATTTAATAATCATAATCATATCTTGATGTGTTGTGCATGTGGCAGCTTCATTTCCCAGCCAAACAAAAGACACCAGTGTCTGAAGATGTACTTGCATTACCATCAGTGCAGATGATTTTTCCAGGGATTTTTTTGGGCATTACTGAATGAATGGAATTTTTTAAACAGTACTGGCTAAGCATTGGCTGTGTTTCGCATGTTGGGTTTGGTTTTTGCTGGCACTGGTCTGATGTTTCACCCTCCCCCTCTGGATAACCTCTGAGAGCAGATCTACGCTTTATTGCTTCTCTCCAATGTGTTTTATGGATAGTAGCTTATAAACTAAACAGCCCAGTTTATATCAGAGGTCTATTTTTACAATGCACCTTGATTAATTTAAATCTATAAAAATCACAGAGATTAATGAAATTGTTTGTATACATGCAAACAGTAGAGAAAGTAACTTTATTAATAGAGTAAAAATTTACCAATATAATTTGTCTATCCTAAGATAAATTATTATGACCTCTCTGGGCAGTAATTTGGCCTCAGGCACAAATTATTAGATATAAAGAAAAAATACTGTCAGGAAGACAAAAATGCAGTTATTTCCTTGTGTTTATTTATTATACAGGGATTTATGAGCACAAACTAGTGAATATCTTGAATATTGAATATTGTTTGGAAGGTTCTTTTGAAGATCGCTTAGATACATAGCAGTGGAAGTCACATATGGTCATCTGATCCACAGAGATCAGTGTTTGTTATTCCATATTTTCCTCTGACTGCACTCTCTGTCATTCTGCTCGCTTTCTCTCTTCCTGTCTCTTTTCCTCCCCTCTGTTTCTCACGTCGACCCTTGGTTTAGAAGTAATGACATCAGTGCCCTGGCATGTGTGATAAACAGTTAAAATGATGAGAACAGAGAGGGAGAGATATGAGAAGTTGGATCTGTGTAATAGG